GCACGTGTGTCCCAGAAAGAACTCCAGGACAAGACAGGACAGAGGGATGAGTCCTTTGCAACTTCTCTTCCCACAAACAGGAGTGAGACCCTCAAAAAATGTCAGTGCAGAGGTGCCTGCTTTGCAAATCTCATTGCTTAGCAGAGCTAGACCATCTCAGTGCTTCAGCTTGTCAACACAGTGTCCATTCTGAGCGTGGCATTAAGGAATCTTTATGCAGCAGGGGGAACTTTCAAGAGCCTAGGTCAGGTGCCAGTAATGAAATAAATAAGAACTAGAATGCTTTTTTTTTCCTGGTAGGTTAGCTATGATGGAGAACTTCACAAGCACCCACAGCTGGAGGCTGATTTGACAGCAGTGAGAGAGATCTATGGACCTAATGCAGTATCTCTCAGGTACGTCATTGGCTTTTCTGTATTGTGGAACCTGTAGTGTTTTGGAGATTGAGTTCCATGTGGGCAATCCCTCACTGCCAAAGCACAAGTCTCTTCTAGTGGTGTGTGCATATTGTGTGGCAAAAGGAAGGAGCACTGCTGGCCTAGCAGTAATGCCGGTTTGTTTGTTTGTTTGTTTGTTTTTTGTGGTTGAGTATTGATGCAACTGTCTGTGCTGAGAACAAGCCCTGGAATCCTGTTCTAAAACATCATTGTCTTTTGCAGTTCAGTTGGTATTTGATTACGTTGTTCTATTTTGTTGAAAATTACAATTCAGCATTACTCTAAACCCTTGTTAAACTCCTTTTCTGTCGTATTCTGTCTTTTGCTCTGGAGGTGAACAAGAGTAATGGTAAGAGATTTACTAAATGGTTTTCCTAGGGAAAAACTAAAGGAATTGGATTTGTCTAGCCTGGAAATAAGAAGAGAAGACATCATAACAGTTCCTCCAAAAAAAGTTGTTTGTAGATAAGAGGAGTGATCAAATGTTCTCTGTTGTCATCATGAGAGAGACAATAAGAAACTAGCTGTGTTAGCAACAAACAAGAATTTGATTAGATTTTATGAAAACTTTTTAATTGTGGGAGTCTAAAGTATCCTACAGAGGGAAGTGGTGGAACCTCAGTCAGAGGCAAATTGCAAAGTGTAATTACAGAAAATTCTGTTGGGCATATATAAGCATGCATGATTCCACCATAGGACATAGCTGTTTTTAATACGCTTCAGGTCTTTTATAACTTCATTTTCCATCTATGCAATCTTAATAATTTCATAGAAATAACAGGTAGGCAAGATGTAACAAACCTGTCAGATGTATTACAAAGAAAATATCAAAGTTGTCATACAAATCAAGTAATAAAACACAGAGAGGATAATAACCTTAGGCATACATATATTGCAAGTAACAATTCCTGTTAACCTCTAAACAATAAGCTCTGTTATTTTTATCCAAGAAGAGAAAGCATATCTACAACTATGGTGTACTATACCTTTTCAAATTAAGTGGAAATTTCATTACATTTCAAGGACCTGAGGAATTGAAATCTGAATAGTTGTATATGGGGTTAGGAAATGAATGACATAAATGTTGAATTGCCAAACTGATAACTATGAAATTGAGAATACTTTGATAATAGGCACCTTCAAGCTCCTAAAATTGAAACATTATATGTGACCTTTCAAAAACTGTAATGCATCTAATTTATTGAATCAACTGTTTCATTGGAAGCATTGTGATCTTGATGACAAGTAGTAGAAATTGGCATCTGTGGATGCTTTTGGCATGTGGAAAACTTTATTACTTCTTCCACTCTGTTGTGGTTGAAAAAACTCATAAATTCTTGGAAATGACAAACACAGCATTAAGCATTCAGTTTCATCCCTTTCCTGCAGCTCCACTTCTCTGTGGAGAGAGAAGTTTGTCTGACAGTGACACCACTAAGATGCATATTTCCTAGACGGTTTACTCTCTTTTAGTAGTCTCTTGCTGTCACAGAGTCAACTGTACATGTAAAAGTGAAATACCTATACCTGCATGCTTTTCACCTCTGCTCTCTGAAATCTGGCCACCAAAGCCATGAGAAAGACCTCTGGACCAACTGATCCAAACTTTTCAGCTTCTATTGACATTGCTTGTGCATTGATGGACAGAGGACCTCTGGGAGCTTCAAAATCAAGATGTGTTCATGAAACCATTGTAGACAGCAGACCATAAGCTGCAGGTGTTGGAAGAAAACATGATTTCTTCCCCCCCTTTCAGCTTGGGGAAGTAAAACTACAGTCAGCGTCATGTGTTACCATTCTGTGATGGTAGTGGAATGGGGGGCAAAGGGTTTTCAGTGAGTATGGAAATTCCACAGTTATAACTTATTTTTACCTTATACCTTCTTCCACTAATATTTCTGTGTTTCATTAGTTCAACTAGGTTTCTGTTTAATTCATAAAATTGTGCTTGTTGACCGCCTTTTGAATCTCTGGCATGTGAGTAACACCAGCCTGCGTTCATAAATATTACTTAAGAGTTCATAACAATCTGTTCTTTAGATCGTCTGGAAAATTAACAAAAAAAAAATCTGAGGCTACTGTTCAGTAGGACAGTGGTTTAAGCCATTCAGTAGGTGGACAATTTCACCATTTCAAAGCCAGGTCTTCAGTGAGCTGTAGGAGGTCAGCAAGCACCTGTACCCGTAGCCTGGGTGAGCAGACCCTGAAGCAGCTGCCAAGGTGGCTGGGAAGCCTCAAGCTAACACAGCCCTGGCCAGCCATTGACCTGCCCTGTGTGTGCCATGTGTGGATGCATCTGATCTAGAGAGAGACTTGGGGTTTGCCCTTATGAGAGAGAACCATTGGGATGCTGAGGTTTGGTGGAAGGGGTTACCTCCGCCAGACTTCACAGAGGTCAAGGCATTTCCAGTGTGAGCTAGGTCCTACCATGGGCTGAGAGGCCACTTTGGCAGGGGATACGTATATTCACAAAAATATTTTTGTATTTCAAAATTACCCTGTCGACTTATTTATGCAAAACTGCTACTGTGCACTGTCTTAGTCTAGTTTAATAGAAGAGCGTGGAAGTCACTGTAAGAACAAGGATATAAATGCAGCGTAAAGAAAAAAAACTAGTGACTAGACTCTAGTCTGTGAAAAATTGAGAGTGATTGCACTTTTACGGGATTGTCCACTTAAGTAATTTAAATGAAAAGGAAAGCAATTTTTTATTTAGGTGTATGAATGAGTATTTTCTAGCCCTATTTTTCAGAAGTCTTCAAGTACGTTAGGGCAGGGCGATAAGAATGAGTCAGAAAGCAAGAGGCAGGAAAGTTACTCTTGAAATGTAAGATTTCAGATGGTAATGAAACACCTGTGAGCCTAAGTTAAATCTAAACCTTGGAGATTCCCGCAATACTACACATAACAGATAAAATAAGGTAACTATTTCCCTGGGTGCATTACAGGGCAATCTTTATGTTTTGACAAACAAATGCTTGAATGTATGAAGCAATCCCACAGGTATAATATGCCACCCTCTAGGCTATGTTGTAGTTGTCTTCAGTGATTTATCCTTGGGTTACTGGCTGTTAACCTGAAATACTTGTGAAAATTAACTAGGGTTTTCTTTTGTCAGAAATGGGAGCAGCATGTGACTATGATTGTTTTCTTGATTTATTTGTGCAATATATGAGGCAAAACTAGGTAGCAGCAATGGAGAGAGAATTTGAGAGAATTAGTAGAAAAAGAGATTTAGCCTGTTTAAGCAAGATCCACTGAAAGAAAGTTTCAGTGCAGCAGATGGTCACCCACTGGGAATATTGATCCAATCTATGTAAATGTGTACTTTATAACCATTCTGATTTTACAGACAAGATTATCCTTTATAAAATCTTCCCTGTTGTAAGTACTCCTGGGCTGAGGAGTGTCTTAAAGAGCTCTAATGTAATGTAATTCTTTCCTTTCAGGGAATATGGAGCCATTGATGATGTTGATATTGATCTGCATATTGATGTTAGCTTTCTTGATGTAAGTAATCTAATCACAGAATTACATAATGAACAGTAATACCCATTTAATTCTGCTACACATCAGACTCTCTTGACAACCACTGAGACTTCCTTTTTTGGAGACTTGATCTTCACAAGGGCCTGTCGCATTAATGATTGCTGCTCAGCGAAAGGTTTCCTTTTCCTTTAATGATCACATTGTTAAAATGCTTTGTAGGCTTTTTTTTACTGCATGTGTATTTACTTTCAAACGTGCTTTGTGAACGGTAAATGTTTTAACTGATATAAATGAAATACATTTCTTTTCTAGACATTAGTTAGGTGAAAGCACTTCATAGAGTCCTGGAGGGAAGAAGACCTTGGCTGGAGCTCTCCTGTGTGCTTCTCAATGTCTGCAGCTGATTAGGGAGAGGCTTGAGTGGCAAAGGAGACACAGGACAGTGGTGCTGTCGACTGGCAGCATGGCTTCTGTAACAGTTACGCTGTCATTAGCTCCACACTTCCTCACCTCATCTGTGCAGTAATTTCCTGTCCTCTAGAGAGAGAATAAAAATTAGTGCTTTTGGGGACATCATTAGCTTCTGCACAGATATGTCGTATTCTCAGGTCAGCCCAGCACATACGATTGTTGTTCCTGGGCTTTTTTTAAAATTTAAGAAAACCTGATCGTACCTTCAATTGTTTCAGTCAGCCTCAAGGAGCAAAAGTTTCCTTTGCCCTATGTTATGGGATGGGTTTCCTTTCCATCTTTATTTGCTCCTTTGCTTCTCAGCTTTGAACTGGTATCCCTTGATGGGAGGGTGTTTGCCTGCACTGTAGGTGTAGTATTGTATATAAACCTGTGCTCAGTTTAAATGAGCATACTCAACAGCTGGAAGCAGTCTAACACTGCTCTTAGGGCATCGGCAGGCAGTAGGTCATCCTAAGTCTCAAGTTTAAGCTTGGATAGACATTCCACAACTGGGAAAATGGATGGATGGTGGTTATAACAGCCCTCAGGTACACTGACAAAATGCAGCAGTTCCTCATGATGGCTAATAGTGTCTGTTGTTTTCTTTTTGTTTTGAACTAGGAAGAGATTGCTGTGGCTTGGGATGTAATTCGCACAGAGCCTATAATAGTGCGATTGCACTGTTCGCTTACACAATACTTAAACGGTCCAGGTTAGTCACCTGTGTATTCTTCATGTGCCTTGTGTGGTGTCCTGGTCTGAGCCCTGTACTAGGTGGTAGACACTCATTCACTGCCAAATCTTTGACCCTGCATGTGCTTAAGTTTACTGCTGAGAGCAGTCCTACTGGTTTCAGATTTTGTTTACAAATACTTGCGTGGCTAGGCCCTCAAAAATGACATGGGCATCTAATTTAAACTTTCATAGGTTGATTTTTGGAACTTGTTTTCCTGATATCCCTTGGAATGCAACTGTTTCCCCTAGGAACCAGTGTTAACGAATAAAGATCTACAGTTTCTAATACGTGATTTCCTGATTTTGGAAATCAGGGATCGTTTGCACAGGTGAGATATCACTGATAAAGTGTACACAGACCTGTGCAGCGCATTAATATGCCCTTTTTCACATACCTTTGAAGAATCAGTCCATGATAATTATCCTTTCAGCTTCCAATTTCTATATGACTGTGTGAAGTCTGGGAATCTTTGGATTTGAATGCGTTGTTAAGTGAGTAAAGCTTCCTCATGAGAGTGAAAATGGTCAAACTCCTAAAGAATCGACCGATTGTGAAGATTTGGAAACGTTCATATGCAGGAGTCAACTTCAGATACGTTTTTACAGTAGGAAGTCAGAACTGGGTTCCAATTTGGATCATAACTTGCCCAGCTTTGGAGGATTCCTGTGCAACCTGGCTTGTATCTGTGTGAGAACGTTGCCTCTGGAAAATGAATAGATATTTCCAGCCATAATATGTTCAGCAAAATCTGTCCCAGTGAGCTATTTTTATAGGATATATTGCCTGCTGGTGCTAACTATAAGCTATATTCTGTTCATTCAAATACACATTTCATTAGATCAATCTTTTTTTTTTTTTTTTGCTTGGCTTTGGTCTTTTTGTCTGTATTTTATTGCTTCAATCTTTTTTGTAAATATGCAGATCTTAAAATACGTATTTGCAGGTAGCAGTGTTAGTATTCTGAATATTTCTATCAAAATGTAATTTAAAAAATAAAAAAGTCCAGCAAATAATAGAGGGTGAAGTGCGAAGAGCAGCTTGCAGTAAGAAATGAGTGAATGAGAAAGAAGTAGTGAATGAGAAAGAAGTAGTGAAATGAGAAGTAACAAGAAGATATCTTCTGCACTGTTGACAAGGTTAAAATGGTAAGCGTAGTTCCCAGTCCTGCAGCTCACTGATTGTGGGGCTGCCTGTGTGCCAATAAAGGCAAGACGGGGGACAGAGGCAAGTGCTTCGCTGATACTGGTTTTATGAGCTCAGCTGCTGTTGCAGCCATATCTATTTACCAGAAAAGGACAATGAGGTCCATCATCTTTTGTGTTAACAAGACCCTTTCTCAGTAAGTTCCTCTTCCCCCTTAAATATGTTGTTTCAAGACTGCTGGGCTATCTTCATGCTACATCTTTTGCTCCTATAGTACTTTCTGTTCATTGATAAACAGAAATGCAGTATACTCCAAAGCACTATGGGGGCTATGCGTACTACCCTGTAGCTGTGTAATATCCTGATTTTAGATACTCACTCTTCTAGTTAATAGCTTCTCTCATTATTGTACTTGTGGGAAGTTTCTCCCATGTGCCTTACAAACCTGTCTTAGATGAGAATGAATCAGCTTTTGGAGGGAGCGGGCTCTCTCCTCTGTCTGTACAGCTTAGACAACAATTGTAGTCTAGGTGTCAAGTTTTAAGATTGCTGGTCTGGGTATGATGATTCTCATTGAAAATATTCCCCCCTTACTGTGTGCCCTAAAGTTGACAATCTAAAGGCATTGCTACCCCTAGTCAAATAATTCATCCCTTTTGAAAAAAATGATCAGTTTGTCTTTAAAAGATGAGGTTATATTTGAGTAGTAACATTAGAGAAAGGATATCTACAGGGCTTTGAACTAAGTGAGACTGGATAGCCAGGTTAGATATATTGTATTTTATTTTTAAATTTAATTTATTAAAGCAAAATTAGAGGATAAACTTTGACATTCTGAATAAAGTCTGGCTTTCTGAATGATCAGAATAATACAGGTTTTAAAATACTGATTTACTTTTTCTAATAAAATTTGAACCAACCCCAAATTTTTTGTTTTCATTCCTTTTGTGTTTTACTGTAGTCTTTACCACCTTACGTAATATGAAGTGTTAAGTCTATTTGGGCTTGTAATATGTGTTGGCTGTTGTCCTGCCTTGAGGACTGGAGGCTCTCTCAAAAAGTGCTGGTTTCCATCTGCCACTTCTATCTAGTAAATGTTATTAAAGGATTTTAATAATACTGGGAGCTAATTTCCAGGCTTCACCCTGCACACTTTCAATTTTCTGACAGATGGATATGGATATACCAATGTTAGGATGGGTCTTGAGGAAAATTCAGGGTGATTCTTGGCTACTGGAATTCATTTATCAGGCACTTAGCTGACGATTAAGGATCCTGTATTAAAACACCCTCAGAAAGAGGCAGTTTTTATGGCAGTTTTCTTCATATTCACAGGATCATAGAATCATAGAATGGTTTAGGTTGAAAAGGACCTTGAAGATCATTGAGTTCCAACCTCCCTGCCATGGGCAGGGACACCTCCCACTAGACCAGGTTGCCCAGGGCCACGTCCAGCCTGGCCTTGAACTGATCTGTAGTATGTAAAGACTACTTACTAAAAAGTTTAAGAGACTAGGTGAGATGAATTACCAGTCCAGATACATTTAATGTGATGCTGCTCTCTAGTACTTGCTTAATATTAAAAAAAAAAGACACATTTTTGTAACTAAAGTTAGTGGGAATTGGGGCAATTCAGTTTCTAAATTACTCATTTGTAAAACTACAAATTATATTGGGTTATATTCCAAAAATTCCAAATTCATTTCTTAATAGGCATAGATGACATGTCCACTTTCACCATTGCATCAATGGCATTGTGTACAGTAAAGGTCCAGATATAACAGGGTCTTTAATTATGACTTATATGGTCATGAGTTCTTGATTACTGCTGCAAGTTCATATATCAACAATATCTCTTTTTTCCGTAGTGCCAACTGTGGATGTATTTCAAATCTCTACTAAGGAAAGATTTGGGCTGGGACATCAGCTGAAAAAGTAAGTCTAGAAAAGCATAAACCCCTGTTTTTAGGAGAATATCACACTCTTTTTAGTTCCTGGACCATGCCAACTGGGATAAAATTCACAGGTTGTCAGGTTGGGTGGATCAAAGTGTTTTGAACTCATTTTTCTTCAAATAAAAAATAACAGGATTTGCCTTTTTAAGTTCAGTTTTGACGGTTGTTGGGGAGAACCTGATTTGTACTGCCTGCCAGGGTTTTCTGTCACTTTGCTGCCATTTAGGAAGTAAGCTACAAAACTTCAAAAGACTGTAGCTAGGAGTGTTCAATTTCATGTTTCTGCTTAGATGGTGAAGCCTCTAGAGCAGGAATCTTTTTGAGCATCATGCGTACCCTAAGGGGGCTATGCTTTCATGGTGGCCTTTGGTATGTACCACAGTAATTAGGCCATCCACGTTTTGAGGACAAGAGGGAAGAACAGTTGAAAAAATTAGCAGTTTCATGTGTTCATGGTACAATTCAGTTTAATAAAATTATGCTGAGTCATCTTTTCACATATGGTTGTATATGTGTAATAACGTGACAAGAATATAGGCTTTAATATCTGACCATGACAATGTTCAGAATCCCTTAAGAAAAAAAAATAAGTAATTTGCTGTTTGGTGTTTAAAGAAATTCAGTGCACCATTTTCATAATCTTACAAATGAAGCATCGTTACTAAAATCTCTATGGTCCATGACTTTGAAGAAAAAAATAAAAAGCTCCCCTGACATCAACAGTCCCAAATGTTTCAGTACTTGACACTGTCTCTGATTTGTGCACCAGGTAGTTACTAAATGTTCCTGTAAGACATTTTCAAGGACGTAGCTGCATAATTCACAGTTGAGCAGAAGTCAGAATAGCCCATGGCTCCTCATGGCTGTGGCAACAGGATATTCATCTTTGAAGATTCAGTAAATTTTTGATAAAGTCCATACCAACTTCCACTTTGACTTTATCACTGAAAGACTCATACTACTAGATTAGTCACAGAGTACTTTGGCTTGGAAGGAACTATTGGACGTCACCTAGTGCAACCTCCTCATCCACGTAACACTATCTTCAAAGTTAGATTCGTTCACTCATCTAACCCAGTTAGAGTGCGAAGATTGCCTGAGACTCAGAAACTCAGAGTCTCAGGCAGCTGAGCTGTAAAATCTCCAGCCTTTGTGGGCAACCTATTGTATTTATCCACTTTTCTTGTGGATGTTTTCTTTTTATAGCCTTTATTTTTTAGCTTTTCTTGCTACAACTTGTGACCACTGCCTGTTGCTGTCCATCTCTGGGAAGTCTCTGGCTCTGTCTTCTCTGTAAACCCTCCTTGGGCAGTGTAATAGTCGACATCCCTGCCTTCATGTTTGTGCTATAGGAGAATTTGCTCCTGCCTGAGCAGTGTGGATGCTGTAGCCTGCCTCTCTAGTCACTGGGGAGACAGGCGCCTATAGCTGGATGGGGTGCCTTTGAATCAGTTTGTCTGTAGATTTCCATGAGAGGTATACCTGCGTAAGTCTTGCAGTGGTTGTTTATGCAGACTGTATTCTCAATAAAAGTTCTGTGTAAATTAGTTTTAGGGGGCCGGGGCGGGGGAGAGCATTTTTGAAGAGCTGAGACACCCTATCATCAGTCCACATATATGACAGAAAAACTCTGCCCGTAGAATGAGCACGTTACATTGTGTTGCCTATGTGGTGAACAGAGAGACCCTGGTATTAAAGGGAGTACGTCTTGGCTAGGATAAGAAAATCTTTGTTTCTTTCTTAATTTGCAGAATCATGCAGACATTTGTTACACAACAGTGGAAGAACAGCAAAGAGAAATCTAATTGTACGCACAATAAGAAAGTGTCTGACAAAAAGGTGAAATCCCCTCTGCACATCTTTTCTACGTTGCGCAGGTAATAGCAAGGAAAATGAGCTGTTAACACCATATCCTGTTCAAAATCCACAGCAGACTTCACAAGGTGAAATGTTGACTTTTCTCCACAGAGAAGTGCTCTATTTATATCTTACCTCATGGGTTTCCAGTCCTTGCCTTGCATGACATCAAAAGTGAACTCAATACTACTGCAGCTTCTAAGACTATTTGAAGGCAGAGCATTTCAGTGCCCTGCTCTCTGAAACAGCCATGTTTCATCTAGAATTGGAAGTAATTCATTTTATATTGTTTAACTTGTTGCATTTGTGTCTTTATAGCTTGGTAGCATTTGGCAGTTACTTGAATAGCACGAATATAAATATAGGTAATATATACAAGTAATACATAACATATATATGTAAAAAATGTGGTTGCCTAGTTGTTCTTCCCACAGCTGTGTGCATTTTTAATTTTTTAAAACTAGGATGGTCATTAATGAAAGAATGACTTCTAGAGCTGCTGAGCACCCACCCCTCGCCACTGTTTGACTACACTAATGTTTACCGCTTCTGAAATGCGGGCATGGGATTTCAAAGAACAAAGGCATTAAAAACATAACAAGTAGTTTGTGAATAGTTCGTTTGAATTCATTGTGACTTCTGCCAGTTACTCATACTCCTAAATGTATGTAAAATTAGGCTCTGATTTTACCTCTTCAGGGATGTGACTATTTACTCTAGCATGTTTTCATGCTTATGAAGGGCTGACAGATCACCCCTTCTGTGAATTTGAATTGAACGCTTCTTTGGACATTCCTTCTTTCTGATGAATTTTGCCATTCTACATTCCGTGTATAAAAAAGAGAGGGAGTAGAGCAATCACTCACACTGAAGAAGGGAGGAATGTCAAAGATGACAAAAGGTGGAAGAGGAAGGTGGTGTTTTAAGTAGAAAGCTTATCCATTCTCTGCCATGCCACACACCATTGCCTAGGGCAGGCCGTAGCTTGGGCTTTGGTTTTATTCAGGAAGGGCATGCATAAGCCAGCCTGGTCTTTCTGCTCTTGATTTGGCTGCTGCTGCAGCGCCTGTCCAAAGATGGCTCAGCCCAAATTAAGAGACCCTCTCTCTCTCCCTAGAGCACCATTCCTACCTCCTGTCTGCGGGAGGGTGGTAGTGAGCCAACTGCAACAGTGAGTCAGCATCCTCCACGTGCATCTTCTACTGTCACCGCTTGCTAACAGGGTGGGGAAACCTGCCAGCCTCTCCCCTTGGGTTTTCGGTTCTTTTCTATTCGATCCGAGCCCAAAAAATACTCCAAAGACTGGGGTTGCTATAAAGCATAGAAAAATGATTCAGCATAGAAAAATGATACCTGTTCCATGTTCTTGCTTTGCAAGGACAGGCAAATATGAACCTTATAGAAATGTGACCGTTCATGTGAATGTTGTTTCATAAAAACCTTTTGTTCTTCTTGCATTCATAATTTAGGTCCCTCGCATTTTCATTTCTAGTGTTACAGAGCTAGAATTTGTCTAAAACAGGAAAGAACAGCATCAAACTGTCTTCCACAAAGCACACAGACCATTATAAAGTTTTTAAAAATAACGTTAATTTCAGCTGAATTAAATTTGATTTACTGCCTGCAAGTTTCACTGCTCATTATATCTTCCATTGGATCTGGACATAGAATTTGTTATGCTGTGTCCAGAAGACAGTAACTTTAATGGGATTGTGCTATGACGATTACATAGGAAAGATAGATTTTGATGAGGAAAATGCGTTATAATCTCATATGAAATATATGGGTTTCTTTTCAAAGATAATTTCCTGAATAAAAGGTTTTTTTAGAGACACAGAGACCTTTAAAAAGAGCTGTAAGGATATTGCTCTAACTTCTACTTAAGTAATTGGTAGTCTTTTTGGTTGATGAGCGTGTGTGTGAATAGGAGTAAGATCTCTATTTGGTATTGGAAAAGTAGTCCTACATACAATTGCTCATTTTTTTAATGTTGGGTTGCGTTTATCACTAGTGAAATACATAAAGACAGGTGACACTTAAAAATTTTTACATATGTGTGGTCTTACTTGATTTGCATGAGATTTTAATTATTCTCCAACTTGTGTCTTCTTTTTTTTAAGGTCGCCAAGTTATCCTCCACCTGGCTGTGGTAAAAATAAATCAAAACTGAAGTCAGAACAGGATGGCATCTCCAAAACTCACAAGCTACTAAGAAGGACTTGCTCTAGCACAGTGAAGGCGGAGGATATGTGTGCCACAAAATCTCACAGAACCTTTGGCCGCTCGTTGTCGAGTGACCCAAGGGCTGAACAGACAATGGCTATTAAATCGCACAAACTGTTGAACCGTTCTTGCTCTGCAGCTGTCAAACAGGAGGAGTGCATCACTTTAAAGCCCCATAAGCTGTTAAGTAGGTCGTGTTCTGGGGACCCTCGATGTGAGCACAACAGCACCTTGAAGCCCCACAAACTTTTAAGCAGGTCCTACTCCAGTAATATTAGAATGGAAGAATTGAATGGATTGAAGAATCACAAGTTACTCAGCAAGACTTACTCCAATGCCCCTAAATCATACAAAATGGAGCCTTTCAAGGAGTCCACCATAGCAGAGGGCAGGAGTCTCTCTCTTACCTCAGGGCTTATTGGTATCTTAACACCATCTTCATCATCACCTTCACAAGCTGCTGTGCGTAACAATTTTTTTATTCTGCTCCTTTTCCTCCTAATATTTTCCAAATGTACTGTTATGCTGCTTATGCAAAGGCATTAATACTTAGGGCACGTGTTAGTGAATATATTGGATATATTGATATAATGGAAGACAAGAGTAATGGAGTTGGCATTTTAAGGAGGATTTAAACAACTGTGCATGCACATATATTTAAGTTATAAACCCAAAATTTACTTAGGTCAAGACAAAGATTTTACGTGTCACATTGAATACAGCTCAGTATACCTGCTGGCCATGGGAAAAATTCAGTCGTCCACTTCCTTCCCTGCCTTCTTTCTTGCTGCAGGAAGAAGGGAGAGTGTGTGCTTCTGTGCTGCAAAATTGGCTTGGTCACACAGGTCTTTTCTCATTTCAGTTAGCTTTGTGGGGGAAGCAACCATCCATTGGCTTGATCGGGTGCCAAGTCACCTCTCCTTCTGGTCTTTGCATCTGTGTTCATCATCATAGTGGAAGGAAGGCAGTCATGATTCAGCTCAGCTCTTGCGCATTTGTGCTTGGTGAAAGGCTTAACCTTCAAACGCGCTGGTGGCGGCTGGAGATCGGGGAAGGAATTAGGTCCGTACTGCCCCCCTTTCTTTCCCCAGAGACGTGATTGACTGGGAAAACAAAGGGTAGCACATATTCTTAAATTTAAGAAAGAGCACTCAAAATTTATTCTTCTGCCTTTGCATCTTCAAAGATGGGTTTTTTATAGAGGAAAGATTTGGTCTGTTTGCACTCTTTCAAGGCACTGGTCCATTTCCTATGTTAAATCTGGGGAGAGGGGCACTTAGGCGACAGTCCTCTCCTCTCCCTTAGCCTGGTGGTATCTTGGTGTTCTCAGTGAGAAAAAGCTGATTCTTGCTTGAAATGCCATACATATATCCAGAATAGTGTATTCTGAATAATGAAATTACACTGAGTGTGCTATGTCTCCTGGTAAATCAGTTTAATAAGCTGTGAGCTATACTCATCAGATCTAAAAGCAGTGATATACATAAATGATATAAAATAGTTTATATACATGCTGTGTGGTTGGTTCCTCTGATGTGCACAGCAATACTAATTTAAGGTGAGCCAACAGGCTTTTTACTTGTCACAGTTGAGAGAAGCGTTTTTTTCTGAATCGGCAGAGGATGTGTTAACATAGCAGGACTTTTCTCTCCTGAAGTTAATAGGAAAAGTCCCATTGATTTTGATAAGATAATGAGGAGTTGACTGAGTGGTTTCATTACTGATGTTATCAGCTGATACGGAAGAAGTGCAAGCCCTGCTTTGCAGTCTGTAAAAACTACCAGTAATTTGTTGCTAGAATGCATTTACTTTGAAGGAAAATCATCACATACATGGCCAGGTGCAATTTGACTGATGTTACTGGGAGGACACCAACAGTCCATTTTACATGCAGACACCAGATATATGGGTAGCCTGGGTGCTGAACTGCAGTTTGAAGTCAGTGGAATGTGGAAGTGTTGAATCGGGACCCTAACTTTGCTTCAGTTCTCAGCTAAAGTATTTTGATCTCATGTATGAATACAATTAGGAGGATTGTTTCCCAGGAGAAAAAGGAAAAGTTTCCTATTAAGCAGCTAGAGAAATGAAAGGAAATAAGCCTATAAACAAAACAAAAAAAAAGCTGTAAATGGACTCTTATTCAAAACAAGGTTTGATTGAGATGGATGTCAGCCTGGAGGGAATTTTGTACCTTACTGACTCCTGTAACAGAAATTCCTTCTAATCTATGTTGCTGTTGTGTTGAAAGAACAAGGCAGAAAGAAATTAAGTGGGATCTGAGCACAGATGTCTGTTAGCATGGTGCTTATGGAAGTGAGATGTTAATAAATATAAAAACCCAAGATTTTCAGCCATTCTGAGAGTTACATTAGTCTTTCAAGCCTAAGCAGGTAGCCCATATTTGAATAGACAATCTGCAGTTAACATTTAATGGAAGTTACCAAATGCCAGTTTATTAGAATAGAGTGAAAACACTGGTGTTTCCATTTGAGATTAAAGTTTTTGGGATGCTGAGGTACAAAACCTCATCAGACTTAACGACTAAAAAGAAATGCTAAAAATCTACCCCACAGTCAGCGAACAGTAAAAAGATTGATTATTTGTAATGGCTGGTTTATGCAAATGAGAGATCTTTTTAGATGCAAATATTGTTTAATTAACATATTTGCACGCAAAAAAATACAAACGGTTTATCATTTCCTTATAATTAGTCTACCAACACTGAAGTTGCCTCAATTTTTTCCTTGCAGCAAAACTATGGTGCAAAATGCATTCCGGTACGAGACCGAGGCTTTCTTGTGCAGGTAGGGTGTCATATCTTACTCATTTATAAAACACTGCGGAGCATGAGCTGACTGTTAATTATTTTTAAGCAGATGTTGTTATTCTCATTTTCATTGTTCTCAGACTATTGAGTTTGCTGAGCAGCGGATACCAGTATTGAATGAATACTGTGTAGTTTGTGACGAACCCCATGTGTTCCAGAATGGCCCTATGCTGAGGGTAAGTGGTGCGCTTGCTGGGATAAACAATGCATTTGATAATGCCTTAAATAGTAATGGACCACACAAACCTGTTATAAAAATATTGAATTATTTCAGATGTTTTCTATCCTAATATCCTTTTAAGATGCAAAAATGTAATGCCTATTAGCTAGATTTGCTGTAAATTTGAAGAAAACTGTGTTGCAAGCAAGGCAGATGGAAATCAGGCTTTTATAATATTGTAGAAATATAAAGGGGGGATGTATTTCACTGAACGTGATTGTGCTACAGTAGTCACAACCAGATAAGATAGAGGAAGTGCATTAGAGTGCTTTCCTGGTCCTCTGGCATTCTTTTCAAAGCTTAGGGTGACCTTAGTCCTTGAGCTCTTATCAAGCCATGACCAGCGTATTCAGATACACTGGTGTTAATGCCACCAGGCTGTGAAGTTCTTCTGACCTTTTGCTCATGGGCTGCTGGAATGAGCCATCGTCCATAATGCAGTAAAAAAGGCAGTAGAAGGAGATGCTCTATGAAGTGTCTGATCTAGCAGTGACCTAGCCCAGGGGCACTGTTTTGGTTCAGTATGCCCAAAGTCTGGCCAGTTAGGCAGCTCTTTCTTCTTTTCATTCCTCTGTAATTGGGAACCAGGAATTTTGCATGATGAATGTTGTACCCTCTTGTGCTGTTGGTGAATGCGTACAGTGAAAAAGAGTAAGATTGGTCATGAGCGACACTCTGCCTGGAGTTACTGGATCAGTGCAGCTTTGTGAAAGAGTATATTAGGAGAATAAAACTCTTACCTTGAGGACCGATCTTGCAGTTTAGAGTCCTTCTTGTTTCATGTGTCCTGGATCCTATGGAAACCTGAGTAACCTTGAAAGATTGAAGCCATGGAAAATTGTTTAATACCACTGTGTGAATAGTCTGACACCTGCCAAATTCTCCACAATGTGGCAAGGAACTACGCATAAGTTGAAGCAGGCATCATCTATGATAGTTCCATGGAACTAAATTCAGGAAGGTTATTGCTTACATGGCAGCAGAAGTCACCTCAATGTCATCCCCCTTGGCACTCAGTGGCACCACGGTCAAGCATTCTGACTGCAGGCAGGGTGTGCAAATAGGTTGCTAACAGGATTTGCAAAAGCGTCTATGTATTCAGTTAACACCATTTTAAGTCATGGTTAAACTTCTGTACTTTTGAAAATCCTATCAGATGGTTTTTTGCCTCTTCAAGTGCATATCTAGCTTTTAAAACCATGGTTTTCTGCCAGATTTATCAGCAACCAAACCCTGATTAGAAGCCTGTAGAAAAGGCATCAGTTCCTTGTTTTTCATCTTTGAATGCACTGCTATGCATATCACCTGTGACAGAATGAGATAAGATGAAGTGAGTAATGTTTGGATAGTGAGTAAGGTTTGGATAATATAATTATTTGAATTGTTGGGTTTTATCTATTGTCCATAGGAAAAAGCAAACAGTAGGATTAATTCCTGTTCATATGATGAACTACTAAAAGAAAACAGAATGGAAAGTCATCTGCTGTAAATAAAAAAAAATCTTAATTCTTCTTGCTTTCCCACCTAAGAGATTAAAATCCTTCAGAATTACTTTTCTCTGTCTTCATCTTAAAAAGGGGTCATTTTAGCTATCTGTTTGGGAGCTTGTCAGTGCTTCAAAACAGAGGAAAGTGCAAACATGTTTGCCACTAAACATATATTCGTCGGTGCCTTTGCAAGCAGCATAACCTAACAAGCTTTGCAAAAATGAAAGGGTGTCCTTACGTAACCCAGGGAGAAGGAGATAGCAGGAGGAAATCTAGCATGCTCTGTGTATGCTTGAATGACTCAATAAGCAATATAGAGCCATTAATGAGTTTGCAGTTCTGTAGAAGGTGAGAAAGGATCTCAGTTTGAATTGAGCAAGAGCTTGCCAAAGGGTCTTAAGGAAATTTATCCTTCACTCTACTGAGAGCTCTGGCAGAGGCAGCCTAAAGTAGTCAATTGTGGGGTTTATTTATATGCGTCAGCAGCACACGCACGTACACATATGTACATATATATATATATAATATATATAAAAAGAATAAAGAATGACCCAACTGAAAGAGCACTTTATGTGTAATACTGCTGCAACGGTGGATCTCAGAAATACAGTACTTTATTAAGCAGAATGCAGGGGGCTTTCATTTAAGGCAAGGCATGTAGCCTTACATGCAATCTAACCTTATGTCACTTAATGGATCCCATATGTAGTATTCCTGGCTTTCATAAAGGGATATAGAGTGCTTGTACTTTTGATACCACAGTAACTTCACCAGGTTTTATAATGATCAGAACCTTGCTACAGTCTGCTTATATTTTTAGATTCTGTGCCTAGATCCCATTTTCTACAGAGAGCCGTATCTCAAAGGCATTACTTAGGCTCTATCTGAAGTTGATTGTCTCACAAGAGATGCCACCGACGAAATAGCTCTGGATGGTTCACCAGTCTCTTCCTTTAAAGAGTAGTTCCTCCACACAGATGCACACAGGGTTGTGTCTGGCTGTGTGTGTCCTTAATGATGAGTTTCCTTTCTACCGTTTGGACCTTTTTTTCCAACAACAAAGAAGGCATATTTATTTATAAAAGTGAGGTGAAGTTACTGCTTGAGAAGTTATTTTAAAATGCAGTTAGGCTTGATTTTCTGGTATTTAATGGAGTTTTACACAGCTGCAAAGAAGCCGGTAAGGAATTTGATTCTGTCATCCTTCGGTATGTCAGCTTGACACCTTTCCTGAACTATAGTGTAGTTTAATTAATTGTCTTGAAATGCTGTTTAAAATATTCAAAAATTGCCATCACACAATAATTACATTCTTTTAATACTGTAAAATGTCATACTTGAGTGTAATTTTGGTGCTGGTTACAACTTGCATAATTCAGATCTCATCCACAGGACAGCGGAAGATACCAAGTAAAACAAAGAGATAAAGATTTTCCTTTCTGCAGATTTTCTCTACAGCCTATGTAGAGTTTTCTTAGTTATAAATTATCTTTAAATCAGCCTCTCTCAGCATAAGCTTTCTTCTCAGTATTGTGTTTCTTTTTCCTAGATAACTTTTTCTGGGGGGTGTTCTGTTTTTAATATCTATTTCAATTTACTTTGCTTTCTTAAAATCTTGACATCTTCTTTCCCATAAGATAAGAGCAACTTGATGACAACAAGATGTGTCTTTTTGTAAAGCTTAATTTAGACACTAGATCCCCATGGATCCAATTGTATGGAAGATGTCTGTTGCAGACATCTATACAGCTGCATAACACAATTGCAAATATTTGGCTTTATGCTCTTACAATGGACACGGGTCTTGCTCCAGAGCCAGCAGTACTAATCTAATCACCCAAATGTTTAGGGATTCTGTTGTACACAGGAAGCTTTGAATGGCAGTCACTATCTTAGTCACTTATTAGTGACTATCTTAGTCACTATCTTAGTCACTTATTGAGGATAAATAAAGAGGCTAACTTAGTGACTTACTGAAGATGAATAAAGGCAAAATTCTTAGCTTTCTCTTGGGAATTTCTTTATGAAGCAAAGTATGGATCTTTCAGAACAACCAGTTTTGTTTTGAGCTCCAAAAGTTCCCTGAAATACAGAAGACCAGAATTATAGATCCTGTGTATACTCCACGAGTGTGTATGTAGATAAAAACACATTATGTAGGTCGGGTAACTTTGAAACACTCACAAACCTAATGCTCTCACAAGGAGCTGCAGCTGTATTACTGTGAAGGGGAAGGGCAAAAGTTTTCTGGAATGGAAGGAGGAGTCCTAGAAAAGTACTATAATGCACCGTGAAGCTGTAACACACTTCTTTGGAAAGGTCCATTGCTTCGTTCCATCCCCTTTTTTAAAAAAAAATACCAGTAAAGTACACAATGCTTTCCTGTACATATTCACACCTTTCCCATATGAGATGAGGATGAATGTAGTTTCTCATCATGGCATGTTTCTTTAGTGTTTATTTCAAGAGCACAGTTAGATCTAATGATTATTTACAGTGCACGCAAAGTTATAAAAGCTAAATTGGATGTTTAGAGATACACACTTCTATAGAATGCCACCAAAAACTGCAAATCCCCTGAAATCACTGCATGGCATGCTTTGCAGTCTTTCTGCAAAGCACAGGGAAAATTCAATGAATACATGTATCCTAAGAAGAAAAAGTACTATTTAACCTCTTGTATAAAATAGACCATGCTATTTCATGGATTATTCCTAATAGTGATCTGAATCCTACCTATTTCACTCTTCATAGAAGGATTAAGAAACAGCTTCAAAATCATTACTGAGAGTTGGGACTGCAGCCTTTACATCCAAACAGCTTTGTTATGTCATGTAAAGAATCACAGTGCATCCTTCCGCAAGACGACTCATGCTGCACAGCTCTCAGGAGCTCTGTCATTACAGAACCACAGAACCGCGGAATGGTAGGGGTTGGAGGGGACCTTTGGAGATCATCTAGTCTGACCCTCCTGCCAAAGCAGGTTCACCAAGACCGGGTCGGACAGGAACGCATCCAGGTGGGTTTTGAATATCTCCAGAGAAGGAGAGTTCACGGCCTCTCTGGGCAGCCTGTGCCAGTGCTCTGTTGCCCTCAAAGTGAAGAAGTTTTTCCTCATGTTGAGATGGAATTTCTTGTGTTCCAGCTTCTGCCTGTTGCCTCTTGTCCTGTCACTGGGAACCAATGAAAAGAGTCTGGCCATCAGTCTCTTCTGAAGTAGCTCTTTGCTTAGCTTCAAAAAACAGTGGGAAGTACAAGGTCAGACATAAGGTGTTGCGCTGAGGAGAGACAGATGAGGCAGACCTGGTAAACCTCCTGAAAGCAATAAGGCTATCCTCAGTTGAATCGTTAGCCTCCTGTTACTGTCTTTGAATTGTTCTCAACAGAAAAGCTGTTTAGATGAGTGAGATATGGACTATTATTTGTTTGTAGTTAATGGCTAGATTTTAATTGTTTCAAAAACATAGTT